GAATCTAATAGAAGATTATTGTCTCCTGCTCAACACTGAATTCAAAACCAAAGGTGGCAGTTCAGCCTCTACTTAAAATACCTCCAGCAAAGGAGAGCTCACTACTCCCCATGGCAGCCTGTTCTACTATCAAACTGTGACTGCCATTGGAAGGTTCCACTCAAATGTGTTTCCTTGCAAATTCCATTTACTGGTTCTAGGCTTGTCCACTGGAGCAATATAGCATATGATCTTATCTGAAGAATGTTGCCTGCACTCAGTTCTCCTTATGCAAGAATTAGTAACAGTTAGCTTAACGAAAGAAAGCAAAATTGAGATTTCCAAGAAAGGTATGAACTGTGATGTCAAGGTTCACTCCAAGGAGAATTAACAGAGAGCCAGTGTGGTGTAATGGTTTTGTATTGGACTAGAAATCTGGAAACAAGGGTTCGAATCACTGCTCAGTCATAGAAACCCACCAGGTGACCTTGGGCAAGCTACATACTCTCAGCCTCAGAGAAAGGCAAGGGCAAATCCCTTCTGAACAAATCTTGCCAAGAAAATCCTGTGATAGGTTTGTATTGGGGTTGCCATGAGTCGGAAATGACTTGAAGATACACAACACCAGCCATGTTTCTGGTAGTACTTCACTGCAGTGCTGAATTTGGAAAAGCAACCAGTCACTGTTTTTGTTCAAAGGTCCATTAAGTAGCTAGTGGCTTTTACAGTTATTAATGTTTAAAAATGCTTTCTTTTCTTATTTCTCAGCAGCACTTAAAATGGCTAACTTTGATTCCTTTGTTTTTTAAGTACAATATTGCAAGCCACTGGCTTGTGGCACACCATCTATTCATTAACACTCACAGCAGAGCATGAAGTACAGCACAAGCCAGAACATGAACATGAACCAACTGATATTCTTCTTCTGCCATTTAGTGAGGTCACATATATATAACTATAAATGTAATTGAAACTCTTAACTTACAGTGCAAAATGATGTACATTTTGCCTAATTATTACAGTAACTGTAACTATCTTGGTGGTCCCCAAAAGAAATATACCACAAGTAATTAATTAGTTGTAATTAGTTATTCTGAAGTTTCCTCAAGCTCTGGTTCAGCCATTAAGTAAGGTAGATGCAATTCAAAGTGCCCCGTCCACCGCCCCAAAATGCAACACTGGCCATTTAGTCTTACAAAGCTTGCAAATTATAGCCGAACAGAGGTGGTCTTTTATAACAAAGGAAAATGAGCCTTTTTTTCCCCTGCATTCCTCAGCCCTGAAAGCTGAACTACAATGAGCAGGACATGATGGGCAAAATTCCACATGATTAAAAGAATGTACAACTATTCTGTTGCTGTTTGGTAGATCTAGTAAACAGCAATTTTGTCAGGAACTGAACTTTATTTCCCCCCCCCCACCCTCCAATTCAATTTGAAGCTGTTCCCACGATCTTGCCATTGGGTTTTAGTCCTACATCAAAACCTCCAAGTGGGTAATGATCCTGCTCCTTGTTCGTCTGAGTGAGAGGAAATAAACCTGTTCACAGGATGAAAACCATGGAAACCCAGACTTGGAGTGAGTGGCACTCCAGACACAGACAAGGGGATTTATAGAGTAGAACTAAAGATGACCAGATCTGCTGTATTCAGAAGCTAGTGGTCAAAGGGCTAGGGAGTTGGCAGCTTGGGACCTTGCATTAAAGACTGCAGGATTTTTTGAATGCAGTCTTTAAAGGGATGTTTAGGGAGAGGAGCCAAGAGTCGGAAGTGGGGATGGATCCAAGAGTTCATTTGAGGCACGATGTGTCAAGCAACAAGTCCTCTGCTTAAGAGCTTGTGCTGAGCATCAATGGCTCTGTGTGTTAGAAATGGTTCTATTACAGCACATAGCCTTGGAAAGGCAGTTTAAAGAACCACTCTTTTTGAGTGAAGCTACACGTTCAGCAGGAAATGCAGAACACCCAGTCCCATGACACATAAAAAGCAGGGATGGAGGATGGGAGGCTACATTTGTAGCATAGGAGGAGTGGGTAAGGTGAACATATTTAAGCTTTTCTCAGTCTGACCAATGTTTCTACATCTTAACTCTCCACTTGCTTTTCTGCACTTTTTCACCTCAATCTTTCACTGAACTGCCACTTGCAGAGCAATGGAAGACTTGGGAATCTCAAGCTTCATTAGGGCAGCTGACTTATTTCTAGACTTATCTTTGCTAGCATCAAAACACATAGTAGTGGAAAATGTTTCACTCCAGAAATGGCACACATATACACTGTTGATAGGTCTGTTAGCCCCTATCAGCCATGATAGCTCTATGAACCTCAGATGCATTATACTTCTGAACCAGAGTTTGGAAAAGATAATTTATTTATATAAATCCCAGAATCCCTCAGCCTGTATAGCCACACCTTGCTGGTCTGGGATTCTGGAAGGAACTATACCCCTGAATATTAAAACCGGAAAACACAGAAAATACATGACCTTGAAGACTTGTTAGTGAGTTTGCAGAAGGAGCTGTTTGGTTTCTCTAGAAGGCAGAATAGAGAACCAGAGTGATGGTGGTATGAGCCAGAAAGGCCATTCTTATACATGGAATGTATCCCTCCATTACACATACTTCCAAGCATAACAAAATAGCAGGGAGGAGGAATCAGCCATAAGCTGAGAGGGCTTCAACATGTACTTTGGTCTCTGGGGAGTGAAGGGCATAGCACTTCTGGAAAGCGTAATGTGCAGAGGAGACCAATACTGAAATGCACTTTCTCTGCAAGAATGTCTGCTGAAATGGACGGCAGCTAAAAACAGTCCATCCTCAGGGATGGGCTACCTAAGAATTTTCTTCAGTTCAAAGTAGCTCCCCTATCCATCCAACTGCAGCCAGCAAAATGATTGTTTTATTGTACACATATGCTCCCTATGCCCAAGAGAGACCCTTTTGAAGGCATGTTGTGTTAAAGGTAAAGATAAAGGTATTCCCCGCTGACAAGGTTGGCAAGTTGTGTCCAACCACAGGGGATGGTGCTCATCTCCATTACTAAGACAAAGAACTAACGTTGTCAGAGACTACTCTGTGATCACGTGGCCAGCATGACTGCCCAGAACACTGTTTACTTTCCCACCAAAGTGGTCCCTATTTATCTACTTGCATTTGCATGCTTTTGAACTGCTAGGTTGGCAGAAGATGGGACTAGTGATTGGCCTCGAACTGCCAACCTGCTGATCTTGCAATCAACAAAGTCAGCATCTCAGCCACTTGAGCCACTGCATTAGTTGCATTAGTACTCACCAATATTTGGATGTTTTAATAATCTGCAGATTCGAGCTTCACGTTCCAGTTTCTGGTGATCTAGAGGAAATAATAGAAAATGTTATTTAATATCCTCTGTTTTGGGTCCTTGTTTTGAACTAAATGGCAGACACAACAAAAGAATGATCACAAATAAAAAGCAGCAGATCTTGAAAAAAGGCAATCTGTTTTCTTCAAATAAAGTTCAGTTCAGTTATGGAAACTGCTGCCACCTTGCTACAGAAGTTACTACTGGGCTTACAGAGCTGCTGTTATATAATGACTAAGAGCATAAGCTATGAATTAGGAAATCTCTGGTTCAAAGCTAGTCTTACAGTAGCATTAGAAAAAGCCATTATTCTCAACATTTCTCCCTCTCATTCCCTCCCTCCTTCCCTCCCCCTCCTGCTCTCTCAAAATACAATTCTAGAATTGTGGGATAAGAGTAAGATAATAATGTACATAAAAAAATTATTGTTTACAACTTTCTCAGCAACTGTATTATAGTACCCACAAGGCAATCTAAGATTTTGTGCAAGGTCACAAAGTTTCATTGGAGAAGTTTCATTCACAGGGTCGCCATGAGTGGAAAAAGACTGTCAAAGACAGTTAACAACAACAACAACAACAGGAGCCCCAGCTGCTGAATATGGTTCTAGGGAACCTATTTATTTACATAGCACCATCAGTGTATATGGAACTGCACAAAAATAAAACAATCCTGCCCAAGGTGTATATCTAACACAGTGATCCCCAAATTTTGTTCCTCCAGATGTTTTGGACTTCAATTCCCAGAAGCCCACACCAGCTTGGTCAACAGTCACTATTTTTGGGATCTGAAGTTCGATGAACCTGGAGGGCCTATGTTTGGGAGTCACTGATATTCTAATAGATGTCTGCCCAGCTCTGCAACACTTTACAAAGTCTTGGACCTTGCCTTATTTTTTTGACAACCCATGGCCCATAGATTGCATGTTTCTTTCAGAGACACCCCCTGCAGCTCTCTGCAGGTTGCCACTAAAGTTAGAATGTCTTCCCCATCCATTGTGGGACATTATGGTCTTTGCCACAGTAATTCCCCTCTTGTTACTAATATTTGTAGCTTTGCCACCACTGTCATGACTGATGCAACTTTTCTTCTTCACTGTCTTGTCCAATGATAACCATAAGCATTCACTGCTACTAATATGGCAGCCAATTCTCCTCTTGGACCCCCAATGAAAATTGTCCCTACTACCAATTCAGAGGAAGGAACTGGCAAACCACCTCTAAGTATTCCTTGCCAAAGAAAACTGTATGACATTCATGGGGATTGCCATAAGTCAACAGGTGACTTGAAGGAACACAAACACACACACATCATGACTGCCTCTTCACAAACCATGTGGTAAGAATCCTGCAATAGAAATCAACTGTCAAAGTACGCTAATTCACGTCCTCTGTGGAAATGATAGAATCGACTATGCTCTGGGACCTGCTCTTAAGAGCATTCTCTATGTCTTTTTCAGCTGGATGCTACTGGGGCTGATCTGTCATTGATAAGAGCTCAAGAAGTGTTTTAGTCAGAGCAAAGCAACTCTAATTGCAGGACGAAAGGGGAGGATAAATGAGGACTGAAAATTAAACAAAGGGAAATGCCACACATAAAAAGAACAATAAGATAAACTAAAATGATAAATGTAAATAAAGATGAAACGGCACTTAGGCTGTGATATAATTTTGGCTAGGGAGAACTGCATCTAGAGAAAATAACAGGAAAGGAAAGAACAAAGGAGAAAATACAGTCTGCCCTCTGCAACTTCAGGCTTGTAATTGGTGGATTTAAGCATTTGCAGATGGCAAGCCCCATTGCCGTTAATGGTTGTGCATGCATGCAGATGCGGCAGAGCGGCCACACATGCACCACCATTTTTTCATCTGTTGGCAGGGGGGTCCAGAACAGAACCACCCCCTGGATAAGAAGGGCCCACTGTATTGAACTGAACCAAACTGAATAATTCAAAGATATAGCTGTGTTAGTCTGCAGAGTGAGTATGTAGAGAGATGTTGTAGCACCTTTGAGAGTCACTGAAATAAAGAAGTTGACAACATGAGCCTTCATAGACTTCAGTGGCCAAATGCATCTGAGGAAGTAGACTTGTCTACAAAAGTTCATGCTGCCAACTTTTTTCTTTTAGTTA